CCCCACAACAAAGAATTATTTACCTCCACATGTCAGTATTGCTAAGTTGAGAAACTCTGAGACAGAAAATTCTTTTGGTTCTGGGCACTTCTCACCAAATAAATCACTGTTTCCATATTGGTCCGGGCCATGTCTTTCCTGGATTACCACAGTCGCCTCCTAAATGATTTTCTTGCTTCTCTATCTCCCATAGTCTATTCTTTTTAGATTTGTTTTACTTTTTTAAAATTTAATTTGTCATGTACATACAGTAAAATTCATTACATCTCATGTATAGTTCTGTGAGTTCTAACAAATGCCTAGATGTCATTATTAGCACCATTAGGTCAACATTAGCACCATCAAGGTACAGAATGGCAGCTCAATTTTCCAGGTCTTTATTATGCTCTTTGGGTCTGTCTCTCCCAGGAGCCACTCTGGGGTTAATCTGAGTCTTGGCAATGGCTTATATTGTAGGTAAGTTGTCTAGTCTTTGCTGTGCATCTGTGGGTGTGTTCTGCACACATGGACCTGGGGGTGTGTGCCTGTTGTCTGTTTCAAACCCTGCTCTTCAGGACTTCCCTTACATACTTTGGCTCCCTTATCCTTTTCTGGTCTGAAAGATGGGGCTCTCCATTTTACACTGTTGCACAGTTCTATGTGACTGAGCCTGTCCTGCAGATGAAATGGCAAGAGAAAAAGAAGAAAAAAAAAATAACCGGCACACCTTCTTCACTATGCACAACAGGACCCCTTTCCAAATTCCTCACAGAAAGATGGATTTTCTCTCAGGTTTTAGGTGCCAGTGTTCCTGCCCTGCTGAGACAAAGCTAATGATTTTGGCGGTTGGTGTTGTTCTCAGGGCAGGGCAACGAGAGGGAAAAAGGGGAAGGGGGAAGAATTCTTTCCACATTTCTCCTGTTCCACAGTCTTCCCTGATCCAGCCTGCTCTCCTGTCAGGCAGTGGAGGAGGAAAATGTTGGGTCCATGGTCAAAGGAGTGAGACTGATACAAAGCGAAGGTCAAGCAAAGCTTTATTTCGCACCAAGCATCGAGAATCAAACTGACCGGCCAGGGCTGTCTCTTGCAAAGAGGCGACCTCTCTCTTTACAGACTAGCTTTTAAGGGCAAAGGCCATGTGGTTGGGCCTGGCCATGCACAGGTGACCAATGAGATTGTAACACAGAGAGAGCTGCACAGTCCTGCTAGGTCACACATAAGTGAGCAATTGAATTACAATTTACCCTATAGTAGATATTTGAACTAGCCTATCACCTTGGTCAGAATTGGCACCCAAAGGGCAGGGCCCATACACCTTGGTAGCTAGGAAACAGTATGCACCCCCACCGATTGGATACCTCCACCTGGCCTGACCCACCCTTGTATTTGGGCTTTGTTACCTGGGACTGGCTTCCAGGACTTGTTTTTAAGTAAGTTCACTGAAGGGGTTGGGGGCAGGGTCAGGATGGAGCTGCTCTGGCTAAACAGGCCATTACAGAAAGAAGAACAAGAAAATTCACTGACACCCTACTGGTTATGCTTCAGGTTCTACCTTCTTGTGGTGGAAGACCTAAAATTAAGGTCTTCTGTTAGGTGCCATCACGACATTTGGTAACATTGGGTATGACCTAAGTTCAAGCTCTACTCCCTACTCTGCTCGCGTAGTTAAGGTCCTCTAACCAGACAACCCTCATCATGGGGACCATGCACAGTGCCGGCTTATTCTTCAGCGACAGGCTTCAGGTTCCCCCACCCGCCTGGGCACCACACCCTCTTTAAGCCTGTCTCACACAGTCTAGTTTTTTGTTCACTGTGTTCCCATGGGCAACTCCCTGGCCCTGCATGGCATTTGGTGTCTCCCTCCCCCAGACTGACTATATTTGACGAGGAAACTGCTGTCAGTCTCATCTGCCTAGTGTTGAGGGTTATGTGTTGGGCTATCTCTATAACCCCGGGACAGGAATGCTCCTTCACAAACAGCAAGAAGAGGAGACCATCAAAACATTTCCTTCTTCAATTCACTGGCTAGTTTGTTATTATTTACTCTTCAGAGTCCTCAGGTAGTTGTGTTTTTACTCTGTCCGGAGATTTTTAGTTATAATCAGTGAAAAAAAGGGATTGTAGCTTGGTTACTCCATCTTGCTGGCTCTGGAAGTCCCTCTGTACCTACAGTCTAACAAAACAGCAGAAAAGGATCTTCTTAAAAGGACGCTAAGTCAGAATGTTCCTGTTAAAATGTGTGACAGTCCACATCATTCCCCTGCTCAATGTCTCCAATAACACTATATCTTCACTCTGTAAAAGCCAGAGTCCTTATGATCATTTACAAGGTTGTAAGATCCAGCCCTCCAATCCCTCTATGACTTCATCTACAACTCACCCCAGCGCATCCACTCCAGTCATTTGATTGCTTTTTTTTTGTCCCCTGTAATAGCATGTATGCTTCTGCCTCTGGGCCTTTGCAGTGTTGTTTCCTCCACGTGGAATGTTCCTCCAGATATCCTCATGGCTAATCTCTACAGCTTCAAATCTTTGTTCAGACATGACCTTCCTTTTTTTTTTTTTTTTAAGATTTTATTTATTTATTTGACAGAGAGAGAGAGAGATCACAAGTAGGCAGACAGTCAGGTAGAGAGAGGGAGCAGGAAGCAGGCTCCCTGATGAGCAGAGAGCCCAATGTGGGGCTGTATCCCAAGACTCTGAGATCATGACCTGAGCCAAAGGCAGAGGCTTAACCCACTGAGCCACCCAGGTGCCCCAGACATGACCTTCCTAATGAGAAGTAGGACTACTACCCTCTTTAAAATCACAAATCCCTCCTCCCCTGCACTCCCAATCTCTCATTTTCTATCCCCTCCACACACTAATCACCTTCTAATATACCATATTGTTTACTCATTTTTTATTCTTGTTTTCTGTTACCTTTCCTCCCCATTAGAATGGTAGTTCCGGGATGGTAGGGATGTTTAATCTGTTTGGATCTTGGTGCCCAGGACAGAGCTGATTACATAATGAGCCCTCATTAATATTTATTGCTGGAATAAACAGGTGGGAATATATAAATAATACAAATATACTTTAGCAGGCCTGCTGTTACAGAGAAAAAGGACTTAGAAAAAATTCAGGCCAGAAAATATTTTTCTAATTCTGATCTTCCATTAATTTTTACTTGGAATACCCCTTTACCATTGACCCTGATCTTGTCTTCATGTTAGATGCTTCCCAGGGATAAAACACATTTCAGTGACTTCAACACATCTTAGTATTGATAGGTTCTTCACCTTTTTATACAGGTTAACCAAGCAGAAAAGTTTTGGAAAACATTCTGGAACTGGGGGTGCCATACCCCCACCCACCCCCTTCATGAATAACCCAAGTTGGATGGCATTTCCAAACCCCATTTAAAATAGCTGTAATATTTTTTGTGGTTAAAACATTTGTATAGAATGAGTTAGAAGTTTCTGTACATAGTCTATATTAATTTTATACCTCCCATAAAAGAAAATAAATCACATTTTTACCAGTGTTCTTGTCAGTATACCCAGTCCAACCTTTCTTTGGTTTGATATAAAACCAGCCATTTCATAGCCAGTAACACTGGGAAACGTTAAAAAACCAGAATGAAAGGGGAGGGGAAAAAATAACAATGGGTTTTCTTTTTATCAGGTGTGATGTTATGTAGCTTAATGTTAAATTTTTAACCATTTCCTCCAATTTCTCTTATAGATGGAGAGAGAGGAGATCTGGGGAAAAGGTGCAGAGTTCGTGGGAGAATCTATGTTAAAGTCGAATATAATAAGCTGATGGACCACTAACATCATTTTCTCTTCCATCATTTGTTACAGATAGTATGTGTCAAACTTACCGGTCCCTTTCTCACAGTAAAAAGTATTATGGGGGCAGATCACTATGAGAATGTAGTTGAGCTGTGGAATTTCTTAAAGCTAATACTTTTTTCTAACTTATGAGCAAAGGTAGATATTGTATCAGTTTATGTATTTTGAGCCCTGACTTAATATTATTTATTAACATGCTAACAAGTCATTAAATGATATCCTGCCTCAGGGAGGTTTTTTGTTTTTTTAAAGATTTTATTTATTTATTTGACAGAAATCACAAGTAGGCAGAGAGGCAGGCAGAGAGAGAGGAAGGGAAGCAGGCTCCCCACTGAGCAGAGAGCCCGATGTGGGGCTCGATCCCAGGACCCTGAGCCACCCAGGCGCCCCTAGGGAGTTTCTTTATTGAAGGCAGAACGGCATGAATTTAGAGTTCAAATTTTGCTTCTTCCAAACTAGTTTCCTCACCACATTAAAAAATCAGCTTGCTCTCGTAAGTTCGCATCTCCTACAGAAATTTCTTAAAGTGTCATTGGCCTGTGGTTCATAACACCTACAGAGACAGCAGTCATCATTCAATTACACTTCAATAAACAAACACCGTTGAGAAAAGGAATGTATTCATCCAGTCCTGGAAAGTGGTGGGGATCCGGGGTGGGATGTTCAGAGAGGGTGGGAGGAAAGGCAGGCATGCCTACGTTTGAGGGTCCTTTGAGGGACCTGGGGGCTTTGGTTTCAGTTCTGGGACGGGTTGAACTTCATGCTCAAAAATACAGTGGAGGGGCACCTGGGTGGCTCAGTGGGTTAAAGCCTCTGCCTTCAGCTCAGGTCATGATCTCGGGGTCCTGGGATCGAGCCCCACATGGGGCTCTCTGCTTAGCGGGAAGCCTGCTTCCTCCTCTCTGCCTGCCTCTCTGCCTACCTACTTGTGATCTCTGTCAAATAAATAAATTAAAAAAAAATACAGTGGAGAGTTAAATTTGGAATGTAGGCTCTGGTCAATGTACATACTTGCCATTGAAACGACTGACTTGACTTAATTATGTCAGCATGAAATTGCTCTCAGAGTTTGGCTAAAGCAGACAGAATCTCCTTTCCTAAAAGGAGCAGAAACGAGCGGGCGCTCGCGTTTTGGCGAATCTTGAGCCTCGCCTCCCGCCGTCCGCCGTCACGTGGCGGCCCGCGCCGGCCGCGTTGATGGGTGGGGGCGACTCTACCAGGCGCCGGGGCAGGAAGGGAGGCGGCAGCCGTGCCATTCTTAAAGGGGCCCGAGGGAAGGCGAGGAGCCGCGGACGGCCGGAAGGAAAATGGTGAGTTGCCGCCGGGAGGGCGGGGGCCGGAGGGCTGGGCCAGCCAGCCGGGCTCTCCCGTTTGCCAGAGCCCAGTTCGGCGGGCAGCGCCCGGGGTGAGTCGGCGGCCGCTTCCGCCCCGGCTGCTGGCGCGTGCCCACAGCCAGGGACTTGGCCCCCCTCCGCCACCGCTGCCACCCCGCCTAAGGGCAGCATCCTCCAGCCGGGCCTGGGGTCGACCCGCCCAGCGGATCTCGGGACTGGGGTGCGGCCAGTACGGCTAGGTTATTCTCGCCTGGTCATTTTGGATGGAGGCTTCCAGCTCCTGAACTGCAGGGTCGGAGGGGGCGGGGGTCTGGCACCTCGAAGGGCTGCCCCAAACACCAGTTTATTTGCCAGGACTCGGGCCAGGCCTGAGGGCAGACAGGCGCTGAGCTCCTTCCGCCTGGCGGCCTTTGCAGGAAGGGCTCGAAATTTCAGATTCCATTCTCACGGCCTCGCCTTAGCTTCTGTCTCCTCCTTCCCTGGCCTGCCTTTAAGGATTTTTACGTATTGCTTTCTTCCAGTTAGGGCAATTGGAAATCTTTTGACCTACGGTTTTGGTTCTTAGCGTTGAAGTGACCGTCAAAAGCTTTAGTTTGTTCTGGGGGCTTTCTCTTCCGTTCTCCAATGGATTGAACCCCTAACTCAAAAATAAATTGCCTAACTCAATAAATAAATTGCCTAACAAGAATTTGCTGGATCTTTTCCTACCGGGTGTTTAAATATGCTCCTTTCTCTGATTAGAAACAAAACACAATCCCCCACTGTCCTATGTCTGACCTCCCACTCATTTCTCAACCCACCTCCATCTAATAGATCTTGTCGTGGTCACCAAATCCAAGGGACTGTCTTCAGTTCTCAATCTTTCCTGACTTTTCATCTGCATTCTAGGCAGTTAACTACTCTCTCCTTTTTGAAGCATTTTCTTCCTGCACGCTTTCCCTTGGCTTCTCTTTTTTCTCCTACTTTTCCTGTTGGACCGTTTGTGTCCCATGCAGACTGTTCTCCTTACCTGAATATCACATGTAGGAGTTCTAGGCTCCAGTCTAATGCTTTGTTTTCCATTCTGTATTCTTTCCATCTTTCCTTACACTCATAGCTTCAGTTAACTCCTATCTGTAAGCAGATGACTTGTGAATTTTTATCACGCTTGCTTCTGAGATCCAGTCCAGATCTATATATCCCATTATTTAGTTATCCTCTAGGAAGCTTTTCTCCACTTGGGTGCCTCAGAGCCACCTCAGTTTGTCCAAAGTAGAACTCGGGCTCTTGCCCTGCAGACCTGCTCTTTGCTCTTCCTCAGTGTTCTTAACACAGTGAAAGCTATTGTTTGGTCTATTACACAAGTGGGAAGCTTCCCAGTCACCTTGATAACACTTTTTCCTAACTCACCCGTCGAATACCCAATCTGTCACTAGCGCCTTTAGTGTTAGCTAGAGATCAGGCTTCAACTGGTTGTGTAACTTTGGGAAAGAAACAACCTCTCTAACCCTTAGTTTCTTGCAAAATGGGGATAATAGAACAAACTCATCCTAAGGGATTGTTTTGAGTATGAGAGGAGATGCATGTAAGGGATATTGCACTGTGTTTCTCTCATGGCGTTTAATACATGTTAACTGTTATTAGCAGTTATTTCCCTACTTCTGTTGATCTCCATCAACCTCAGCTACTTTTCATCTCTTCTTTGTACTAAGCTTGCCAAGTAACTAGTCTTGCTTTATTCATCTTGGCACTCTGCCTGTTTCCTGCATGCAGATCTGGTCACGTTTCCCATAACCACTCTGCTTAAAACACTTTAGTGGCTTCCCATTGCTCATAGGATAAAGACCAAAATATGACCCACTGGGCCCTATGTGGTCCAGCCCCTGCCCAACTTCCTGTTATACCGTGTTCCAGCTCGTTCTCTGTGCTTGAGTCATGCAGGCCTTTCATTAACTTAGATGTGCTGTGATCCCTTTAATCAAAGAGTCTATGCATAGGCAGTTTTGGTCCTCCAGATAACTTTTTCAGGCAGATCTTTTGTGGTGGTCTTCTTCAGTCGTAAGTTCTCGTAGCAGCCTCTGTTTCTCCTGCCTAGTTCTTATCACAGGTGCAAACAAGTATGTTTTCTTACGTGATCCTTTTGATGTAGGTCTGTTCTGTATAGACTATATTAGAAGCTCCCTGAGGGCAGGCCCATATTATTTATTTATTTTATACGATATAATTTTATACGATTGTATCCCCAGCACTTAGCACAGTGTTTACACTCACTAAGTGTTCCTGACGTGGATAAACCAATAGGTGAACACTTGAGTTCAACACTGCCCTTAACTGTGTGTTAATATTTTCTCATATAGAGTTGTTTGCAGAATGTTACACTTATTTTTAAATGCTTCTACTAAGCAATTAGAATTGACAGAGCCTGGGTCCCTTTTCTTGTAGAAAGGAATCTTAGTGTGGTATTGGGAGGGGTGTATATGCCCCCCAAAAGAGCTATATAAATTAAATCACAGCATGTTTTTCACTTGGTTCCTGGTCCTTAGAAGGTCAAGATTGCACGAGCAGCCCTGAGTATGAGAGGTGGAAGATAAGACTTGTGACAAATTGGTCTTTGCCTGAAGAGGAATCTAAAATACTTATTCGTTTCACTGATGGGTTCTACCTTTGGTTGAAGAGAGAATGAAAAGTCTAGTTTTTTGACTCTACACCTTTCTTCAAAGATAGAAAAAAACAGACTAGGATTGAATACTACCTTTAGGAAGCTCCATATGACTTAGCACCTCTTTCTCTAAGGAGAACTAATAGGATGCATGTACTTGACTCCTGCAGGAGCCTTATTCAGTGGATAATAATTATTGGTGGAATGCCCTTTCTTACTGTAAATAGCATATTCTGGGATATATCATACCTTACATATTACCAGTGTTCTGAGTTTAAAGGACAATTTAAAATTGACAGCTATTTCCTGCCTTAACTTATGCTCTCATTTACCCAACATGAGGTTAAAAAAGCAAGCTTTTATTAAATTTGTGTTTTAACTTAAAATTGACAACATTAATCCTTTCGGGTTATAATGACACATCTGTATTTAGCATTGGTCTCAGAACTCTTCTAATTCTCTTGAAGGAGTGGAGGTGGGGGGGTTCAGGGTGGAGGTCTTATATTTGAAAAGATTAAAGAATGTGGACCTTTTTTGGCACCTGACTTAAACCAACTGCTGGGGGGAAAAAACAAAACATTGAGGGGAATTTGAATCCTGTTTGTTTGTTTGATACTGGAATTATTGTTAGTTTTTTAAGGTGAGATAATGTTTTTGTCCTTATATTCTTAATGTCACATACTGTCATTTTAATGATACATACTAAAATATTTATAGTTGAAATAACTTTGGGCCTTTTGACAGTCCATCAGGCAGTGTGGAGAGTGATCATACGATTAGATTGGCTGTGTGTTGATAATGTTTGAAGCTGAATTATAGGTGCCTAGGGTTCCACGATACTATTCTCTTGTATGTGTTCAAAGTTTCACACATTGAAAAAAGGGAAAAAAAAATCCATGCTTGTGTTTACAATCAGTAATACATTTGCATTACTACGAGAAGAGTCCTCTGGCCATTTCCTTGCCACATTTCTGAAGATGAATCTCTTACATTTTTTCATAATTTGTAAAAGCTGCTTTTAGTTGTTTTGTTTTTTAAAGATTTTATTTATTTATTTGACAGAGATCACAAGGAGGCAGAAAAGCAGGCAGAGAGAGAGAGGGAAGCAGGCTTCCTGCTCAGCAGAGAGCCTGATGCGGGGCTCAATTCCAGGACCCTGGGATCATGACCTGAGCTGACGAAGGCAGAGGCCCCAACCCACTGAGCCACCCAGGAGCCCCTGCTTTTAGTTTTATATTTGTTCATCCGGTTTTGTTTTCATAGTTCCTTTTTTTTTTTTTTTTTAAGTAATCTCTACAACCAATGTGGGGCTTGAACTCATGACCCAAGAACAAGAGTTCCATGCTGTACAGACTGAGCCATCCAGGCATCTCATTTTCATAATTCTCAATAATTCTTTTTTAAAATTCCCATAGTCATTTCATTAAGATAGAAAATGTTATTGGTCTTTACTCTTGTGGTTCATCTTTCATACTTTATTTGTACTTTTTCATAGTTGTGAGACACAAAAATGAACCAAGGTCTTATTAATTCAAAGTATAATAAAGATTACTTTCCTGCCTAGTGCAAAAATGTCATACTTTATAATAGCAGACAGTGATCCTTGAATTTCCTATATTCTTCTCTTCCTCTATGATTCTGATGAAGTTGCACATTATTGTATCTAGTTCTTTAAGCTATTTATTAGCCAAAGAGAAAGTTAAAGCGTAGCCTAGATGTAAGATGAACAAATGTGTATAATTTAGATACAAACATTGGTAGATTAAAACCTTTTTAAGTTTTCGTGTGTTTCATGTTAACCCACATAACTGTGACATTTGTAGATGTCAGTATATGTTTTTAAAGGTATTAAGTTTTATAACTTTAACACATACTTGTACTGAAGTTACGGTGTTTTATACATGATTTTTTTTCTTTTCTAGAGTGAGTCTTTGGTGGTTTGTGATGTCGCTGAAGATTTAGTGGAAAAGCTGAGAAAGTTTCGTTTTCGCAAAGAAACGAACAATGCTGCCATTATAAGTAAGCTAAACGTGATTGCCTCAGTTACATGGTCTTCATTGATTTTTATCTTGTAGCTACATTGAATAAACTGAGACATTAGGAAATAATTTGCCTCCTTCTGTTTTAATCTTCCCCCTTGCTTTTATTTATTTATTTATTATAAGAATGATTTTATGTATTTACTTGTCAGAGAGAGAGAATGCAGACGCACAGGGGTGTGCTCCCCAGGGGGAGTGGCAGGCTCCCTGCTGAGCAAGGAGAGGGGGAATGGGGACTCCATCGCAGGACCCTGGGATCATGACCTGTGCCAAAGGGAGAATCTTAACGGATGGAGCCACTCAGGTGTCCCTTCGCCTTGCTTTTACATCACTTTAAAAAGTAAGTAACAGCTGTTACCCCAGAACAGAGGTGGAGCACCCTACCTCTCTCCTCAGCTTCCTGTACAGCTCTGGAGAAGATGATCTTAGCCACCTGGTCATTGTAGTGACCCATCCAACTCCATCCTTTAACATCTCAGGAGGCTAAAAATTGCCCGGTCATTCAATCTGAGCCAGAAGCCTTTGCCTGCACCTAAAACGTTAAAGTGTTCAGCATTGTCTTCACAGTGATTTGAGGCCTTATTTCAATTCTTGATTTGAGCTGCTAGTTTCATAGAGATTACTTTTAAGTGTCACTGACTTCTGACAGTGGGAAGAATGATTTGCATATTGCCTCTCCCACTGTGAGCTTATCTGATGTTATGCAGATTTCTTTTATATTCTTAAGTAGTATTTAATATGTGGGGTAGGGATTTAGAAAGGTGAAAGGAGGGCAGGGGGTAAGAGTGTAGATCTCTATAGACTATACTTAACAGAGAGGCATCTGGCAGATGTGAGTTAATGAGGTAGTGACAACTTGTAATGAGTTTTGGGCGCCTGGGTGGCTCAGTGGGTTAAGCCTCTGCCTCAGCTTGGGTCATGATCTTGGGGTCCTGAGATAGGCTCGCATCTGGCTCTCTGCTGGGCAGGGAGCCTGCTTCCCCCTCTCTCTCTGCCTGCCTCTCTGCCTACTTGTGGTCTCTCTCTCTCTGTCAAGTAAATAAATTTTAAAAACCTCTTAAAAAAAAAAAAAAGTACAATGTAGGCAAACAGTTCTTAAAAGTGAAAATTCGTGTCCGTGCTTTTGTGCTGTGAAAGGTAAAGCTATTTGAGACCTTAATATCTTACAGAATTTACTATGAAATTAGTGTAAAACCAAAAATGGCCAACTTTTTAGAGTAATAGAAAGAATAAAGGCATAGATTATCTAAACATATTTCAGCTTGGCTTTGGATTATGTTACGTATATTGGGATATGGATCTCACTGCTATTTGGTAACCCATTATCTCATAATAATCCCATTGCTCTATGAAGTCTGGACTCTGGAGAAGCTGGGAACTGGTCGTGGTTCTTCTATCTTAACTCCTGGTCTGCTTGTCCCTTGCAGTTCTAACCATGTTACATAGACCAGTCTCATTTACAGTCACCCTTTCGGACCTTATTATGTAGGAAGTTGCATTTGAGTTACAAAATTCTTCAGATACTCAGAAAATGTAAGGAGTTGACATAAAATTCTAAATACGCAAATCAGGTGATGGAAATTGTGGGTAAAAGCCTTTAAATGCTGACTGCTTGAAAAGCTCAGCTAGCTAATAGACCATAAACGAAACTGCAAATGAGGTTTATGTTTGTGTTTCTTAATGTTTTAATTTTAGATGCCTGAAAAAGGGCTGAGACTCTGGGTTGGGGAGATCAAGGTCCATTAGAATCACAGTTTACTTACACTGTATTTTTATTTTAGTGAAGATTGATAAGGATAAGCGCCTGGTGGTACTGGATGAAGAGCTTGAGGTTTGTTTGATCAGCTAAGTACATTTTTATAGTTAAGCAATTATTATTGCCTAAGAGTTGATATATTAGTTACGTGTACTTTTACAATGAGTCTAAATAAACGCTCATTATGCATGAAAAGCCTGTGCTAATTATTAGGTAGCATGTTGTCTTGTTAATTGTATCACCTTCTTTAAAACATTACTGAAATCCAGTGTAATAAGTGATAGTTATGATAACGCTACATGTCCGGTGTAACTTCTCAATTGCTTGGCCAGTAATTAAAAACTAAAAAGCTATAACCTAAGCACGTAGTTTGTCAAATTAAGTAACTAATTTAGACTGAAAAGAAATTCACTTTTTCCTCCTAAATCAGACATTGATGTTTTTTTGCCGGTTGGCTTATTATCTTATTTAGTTATTTCCCGATAGCTGGAACGTAAGCACAACTGTTTTGTTAATAAATGGAACTGAACTAAGTGGGCTTTCAGTGGATTGAGGGTTGAGTCATCTCAGGTTATATACAATTTAGTAACATAAGATTTTATGTTGTGGTATATGGTTATGAATTTATATCTGTTAGTAGAATGGGTGCTTGGAATATTTCTTAAGGATTTAGGTCAGAAAATGCTTACAAGTTGTTTCTCTTTGTGGTGCCAGGGCATTTCACCAGATGAACTTAAAGATGAACTACCTGAACGACAACCTCGATATCCTTTTCTTAGTGCTTTAAAAAGATTTGTTTTCTTTAGTGGTCAGAATTTTATTTATGAAGTTGATTTGTTCAATTTTTAAAAGTCCTGTATTTTACAAAATTTTCTCCTACACCATGATCACAATCAAAAAGTGCATACATATTGGACTAAGAAAAATGGGAAATTGACATACTAGTGGGATGAATTATATCCTTTTTAAAAAATCCCTTTATTATGTGTTTACAGTAAAAATTTGGAAAAAATCCATACTTTTAATAAATTTATTTTTGACAGATTATATGTTTTTATACCTTATCTTTGAGGCTCATGTATGCTTTTGTGGAAAGATAATAATAATAAAGGTATGGCTCAAATGGAGAGGACAGAAATTTACCACTCACTAGCTCTCCAGGTGTGTATTTTCTTTTAAAACTTTGTTGGTAAGTACTTGTGTCAAATAGAGCAGTAATTTTAGTTTCTTTAACTTGAGAAAAACCTTCATAGTGTATAGTTATAAATACCAACACGACGATGGAAGAGTTTCATATCCTCTGTGCTTTATTTTCTCCAGTCCTGTTGGTGAGTGAATTTCTTTGAGTAGTGCATGTTTGGTTCTGATCTAATTAAACCATTTTTCTAGGAGACAAATTGTGTGCTTGTTTTAAAGATGTGAAGTGTTGAATAACCTAAATAGAGTTACGTGTGCATGTGCACGTGAATTCATCGCTAGAAAGAGGTGGCTATAAAGCGTCGTTTATTAGAACTTGCTTGTTTTCTAGGATAAATTTCTAGAAGTGTAATTGTTTGGTCAAATCATACATACATTTTAAGGAATGTAAAATGTAGCGACATTTTAAAACAACATACATTTTTAGGTTTCCTGTATAAGTATGTGAACTTCATGTATAATTTTTATATATATTTGCATTTATCTTTAAAATAGTACTCAATGATGATATGCCTGTAACCTTACAAATAGTCCCAGAGTAGCTAACGTTGGATATTGAAGTCACTTCCTGTTATTTAAGATATATCCATTATACCCAGAACTCCTAGTACTACTACCATTTAAGCCCACATTAAACTCTCCAAACTCTTCTCTAAACTTTACTACTTGTATCATTTACTTAGCACTTAAAATAGCTACAGTACTTTTTAAACTTAATATGTAAGCAGCCTGTAACTTTTTTCCAGAGCAGATCTCCCCACACTGATCCATCACCATTCCCAAACCCATATATGTTAGGCATCCATAAAACTGATCTTGATATTTAATGTCAAAATTAAGATTGTGCTGAAAAGTTCTTAAGTATTTACAGAGGTCTAAAAGATCGGCAGAGATCTAGTCACATTTATTTTTATCAACCCCAGGGACTTGTTTGTCATTTAACTATGGCTCTGTGCAGGCAGTATGCAGTGTTAAGACTCTTGAAATACACCCATACATAGTTAGACTGAAGCTTTCTCTAAACCTGAGTGCATAAGAAAATCCTGAATGTGTCATTGTAGAAGTACAAAATGAAAACCCATCACTTTTTCAAACTCTAAGTCTCATTTCTATACTAATCTCTTTTCCAGGGTGTAAGCCTGAGCAACAGATGATGTATGCTGGGAGTAAGAATAAGCTAGTCCAAACAGCTGAACTAACCAAGGTGGTATTTGTGTTTGACTGGCTTGTTGAGATAATATTTTCCCTCATTATTAGAGTATTAGCTAAAGTAAGCTGAAGAGTTAGGTATTTTTTATTCAGGTGAATGTTATTTAGAGCAGTAAACTTAAAAGAGTTTTACTGTTTGGAAATAGAATGATAGAAGTCTTTAATCAAAGTTTGTTTTTTGAACGGAAATTATAAGTTGATTAGCAGAAATCATGTTTAAAATATAGGCAGCTTGAGAAAAGCCACTGCCATTATTCAATCTATTGTGAGTTTTTCATTTTCCATAATGTAGTTTCTAGTAGATAAAAGTAAGCATTGAAGCTTCTCAGAGCTGTTTACCATGGGCTCAATGAACCACATTCTGTGCAGGAATTCCATATTATGTAGTTAACTGTATATTGTTCCCAAGTCTGAAATTGTTAAGAATACTTATTAGCTTTATTAAGCTAGACCATTCTGTTTTTTATGAGACACTTTCCTTAAAATTTAACGTGCCCCCATTGTTTTACGGCATTATTGAAGTTTAACAGTAACAGAGGTACATATTCTCAAACTTTATTTAACATCCATGTATTAGTTTAGTTGAAAAAAGTATATACTTTTAAGGTTTTGAGATAGGATATTATATCACTAAAATAATATTAAATAACCTTTCCTTTCAGGTTTTATTTTAAGTACAGTATCAGTGTTTTCCCCTTTAATGTTTAACCATGAGCCCATGAGATGTCTTTAAGTGCCCTCTGCCTTTTCCCTTTAGCTCATGTAATTGTCATTGACACCAACAACTTATAGACACTACTTTTTCTCATTTGTACCATAGGAACACCGTGGAATTACTCTAAGAGGGTTGGGTGATAAGAAGGAACTCTGTTAAACAGCCTCATTTCCATTCTAATCCCACGGCACACCATCAAGTGCTGGTATTAAGGCATTACAATTTATAAGTTACTATTATAAATAATCACATCGAATCCTCACCACAGTCCTGAGGTTGATGATGTTATGCCTGTTCTGGAGATGGGAGAACTGAGGTTCAGAAGATGAAAGACTTGCCCAGGGTTGCATAATAGTAAATGACACTGCTGGGTTTCAAACCCATCCTTTCTGCTCTATTACATTGTTTCCGTAGAGCCTTTATACTTCCTGGGCCTGTGTGTGTACAGATTCTTGCAGAGATTGGTGGCTGTGGACCTGTAGTCCATCCTTTCAGAACAATCTACAGCTTGTCTTTCCTCCAACTATGGAAGACTAGCGTATGTTCTTCCATTTCCTAACTAACTAGATTGATTTTAGTTTTGCGTACTTGGGGTATCTCTTCTAATGGGTAAGATGTACAGAACTCTTAGAGTTCGTAGATTTGATCCATAGATTCTTTTAGGATATTCATAGCTTTTAAGAGAGTTCTGGTTTTATGCCATCTTACTGCTAAACCTTGGTAAGTCAGTACTTAGCATTTTAAAAAAGTAAAGGTATATCTAATTTACAAAGATAAGTCCTGACCAACATGAATGAAAGGAAGGAGAATTGGGTATTTAATACTCCTATATACAATGTGTTTGATTTTTTTTTTTTTTGAGAGTCTCAAAGTATGACCTAACGTTTTTTCTTAAGGTATTTGAAATAAGAAATACCGAAGACCTAACTGAAGAATGGTTACGTGAGAAACTTGGATTTTTCCACTAATGTGAACTTCTGTGTTTCTAAAGTATTTATGTATTAACCTGACCATACTGGAACCAGACATAAATACTTATGCCTAAAAATGCACTGTTACTTACAGTTTGTTTCCTGCAGTAAAGAAAAATTATTCATTTGTTCAAAGTTTGAACAAAGGGGAAATCATCTTCATAGTAATGAAATTTGTAAAGTGTTTCCTTATATTTGTAATTGTTAGGTGGACTACTTCTCTCCAGGGACTTTTTGCACTCTTGTGACTAATTTCTATAACCTATGGTTCAGAATTTGTTACTATTTACAGACACCATTGGAAAGTGGGTATTAGATTGTGATAGACAACAGTTGCCTCCTTTTGACAAATACTGGATATTAGCAGTTTATATATGAAAATAGCATATTATCACTTGTCAAATCTTTAAAATTAATTTGGGGTAAAAGACTTGAATGACCCAATACAGAGCCATGAAATATAATTTACTGTAGTGTAAGCTGCATTTCAGGTACACTTGTCATCAATTCCATACCTTCTGTGGTTTCCTGTATCTTTTAAATCAAGTGCAGAAACTTTGTTCATCAATCATTCATTCTTAAGGTCTGGTGTTAGATTTTATAGTAGTTATGACTATTATGTTTTCTTACAGAAAATAGCATTGTAGTCTTGGAAATTGATAGATTGGAACTAATCAAGAACTTCATTCCTGGTTGTATCATAGCTAGTTTTGCATCTAGGTTAATAACACCTTATTTATAAAGCACCTCTTAATGTTGTCTTGTGAACACAAGTTATTTTAAATGTGTTAATACTGTGCCTTTGATTTGTTAGCTTTAAAGTTAGTTTAAGACTTTTACACTGCCAGTATTCCAGATTTGGTGAAATTAATACTTTTGTAAGGGGTCCAAGTAAAACAATTTTCTAATGTGTGTATCTAAAATTTGTAATAAAATCAACTTCATATTTTTAAAAATTCCAACTATCTGCTTGCATTGGTGAATATATGGCAGTTGAAAGTTATAATTTGGGGTATATTTATGATTACCCTTGTGCCATAGGAAAAATTAACTTATCTTAAAAACTTGGCCAGAGTTAATAACATTAATACATCAGTAGAAATTGCATCTTCTATCCTAAATGTCAGAAGATATTCTGAACTGGACATACGTCTTGTTGGCATCCTTGGCATAAAGCAAGGATTCTAATATATAGTGTACTTTAAGAACAACATACAAGTAACTGTTCAACATTAATTTGACAAAAGGTCTTAGGACTCTAAAGACTAACCAAATTTGGTGAGTGAATTCTTATATTAAGAATATCTTAGTCATTTCAAAACTATAAAGGCATTATTTTATGTTGGTGTATTTTTCATTTATGTATTCTCTGCCTTTTTTTTTTTTTAAGGTTTCTGTGCCAACACTAATAAAGAGGTAAAGATAGTTGGAATTTTCACAATATTGACTCTTTTGTGGCCAACACTGTTTGGCTTCACTAATCTAAAAAACGGGAAGCAATAGGAAGTTAGTTGGAGAAGAGGAAGTGCTAGAGTGGGCATTTGTTTTGGTTAATGAATGGGAAGGATTCTTTATTCTAATTTTCAGGGGGAGAAAGAGAGAGAGAGAGAGAGAGACACCTTCACCCAGGAAGTTTACAAATTATGAATTCTTTAAACAGCTATTTTGATATTGGAGAATAATGCTTATAATTCTGTGGAAATGCAGATATAACCCAGGTGAATGAGAGTGTTTTTAATGTTTTTAAATGAAGGAAATAAGATTTCGTTTCACCATGTTTGCAGCAATAAGAGAAACTAGTGCTGCAAGAATGTATTTTTTAATGATGTTCTTTATTTTGTCTTGCATGTTTTAGTTGTTTTGTTTAGTTTTCAAATTTAAAAGTCCTCCATATTGTCAGAGGCTACTGACTTCCATAAACAGAACTTAGTTCTCTAACAGGGACAAAGAGCTGTGATAAATCATGCTTTTTTGAGCTTGTTTGACTCCTTATCAATAACATGTATTTTGCAAGACAACATGTTTTGGCTCCCTCTGTCCTATAGGAGATTAGGGAGATTTACACATCCAATGCTCTAGAATGTTCTCAGACTTTTATGTAAACTTCCCTTCCATGTAACCAAATTTTGCATTCTTCTTTTCAAGTATATGTTCAATTTGCTCTCTTTTTCTGCCTTCTCTCATATAATAACTCCAGATTGGATAATTCCAGTTTTTACATTCCATAGCTTTCTGGTGCAGCCATTCCCATTTATGTCATAATCTTTCCCTTTTGGCATCAGCTTTTTTCCTGGGAACCTCCTTCATGGTCTTCTAAGTCAGCATTAGTTTTGAAATTATTGGCCTTGCATAAGTTCTGCATAGCATCTAATAGAGTCAACTAGTAATCCTAGCATGTTTTTAGTACGGTTTTGGTGGCAACATAAATGACATATGAAGAAAACTGTTCTCAGGTTACTATGCTGAAATTCCAAAATGTCAGAGTTTTGAATAGTCTTCGCTTTGTTCTGGTATTGAAGCAATCATGTTAGGAGAAAGGTTGTTAGACCGTTTTTTGTTTAATTGACTTCTAAAATAAATGTTCAAATTGTCTATTTCTAAAAAGTTTACCAAATGCATAGTGCAGTTAAACATACTCTTGTTTAAGAGGGTGTAACTAAATTTTTTATTACCGTTACAACCCTTTGTAGCAAAATGTCTGTCAGCACTTTTCTCTTCCCTTTTATCTCCTATTTTCAGGAGTCAAATGTAGCCATAAACTGTATCCTGGTCTGACACTTTAACTAAAAATTTCCAGTTAGAGGAATTTATTGCCAAATTAAATTTGGCTGTCTTTGTTCCCCACCTATATAGATAGTAAGGAAGGTATACTTAAAAAAACGTTTGGACTACTTTAAAACCTGAGCAATGTCATTAATCCATAATGTGGACTAGTGATGAATAGATATTTTCATAAGAGTTTAAATGCTGATATTTGGTGGAAGTAGAAAGTAACTTGTATTCTGTCAATTCAAATATTCTTAGTACGGTTGCTTTCCCTGTTTGTTCAATGGACTGATAATACTGGAATCTATAGAATTTGAGCCTTTACAACTTGTGTGAAAAAGTGTCTCAAACATTTCTGGACAAATCTTATTTTGTATTTCTGGAAGAATGTAAATCTTCTTAGGTGACTTAACACCAGTGGTCCCAAGTTGAATATTCTTGAGAAATTTGTTTCTTGTTATGCCGTTTGACATTTCAAATCAGTGACCATGTTCCTATAATATTCAGAACAACTATGTTAAGATTGTGATAGAAACTGTGTTTTCTTGCTTTTTGGAATATAGTTCATACACATATATTACTTGAATATTGTTTGAGATCACTAACTTGCCAGGGCAGTTCCCACTGATCTGGATGGTCCAATATAATCTCATTTAGGAGGCTTGAAACATTAATGGTTTAGTCTTGTGAATTTTAACAGTTCCCTGTCATCATTTAACAAACTCAACAACTGGCACAACTTCTTAAAGCTGTGATTTCAGTCTCTGCTAGTTCATATTGCATGTTTATTTTGGACAGTCTTCTGTTAAGCATGGTGCTTGTACTGGTTTAAATAAAATGTTAACATGAAAGAACTTCTGGCTTCTCATTTTTTTTCTCACCTCCTCTCCCTTTTGGAGTTATCATTACCTGCCTGGCTTAGTTGTGGCCTTTGCATGAGCCACACAGATTCAGCAGCTCACTTTCTCTGGAAAAAACTGAGAGGCAAAATAAATAGGAACCACTTGGCAAAAACTGGAATGGGTGAGGGAGAATTTAACAAGGCTATAAAGATTTCTAAAACTTGTTCTGAGGCTAAAATGATTTGTTTGTAGTGGCAGAGGGCATTATCTCAAATGATGAACTCTTTGCTCTCAAAGGGAAAACCATAAGCTAAAGGGGCTGTGCACTTCTAAGAAATCAAATTGAAGGATCTTTTATTGAATATAATATGTCACTATTTATTTGACATCGATTGAAGGTCCATCTTGCCTTTGTTTTAGACTATTAGACTATTGTTTAGACTACTTCTGCATGGTTTGTGTTTCATAGCTGTCGAGTGAATACAAGACACCACTACTTACCTAATTTGTAGAGTCTACCATACACTTCCTGTGATTGAATACATGCTAAAAGTCATGATTTGTTCATGTTTGTGAAAGGAATAGTTTATTGTCTTCCTGTCTTCAAGAATCTCACAAGGAGAATTGCCCAGAGCTTGGAAACAGGTATTATTTCTCAAATTTGCCATTTACCTATTCAAAACAGCCAGCTCCTAAATTTTTTCACGTTGGTTTTTTTTGTTTGTTTGGTTGGTTGGTTTTGTTTGTTTTTGCTTTTGTTTTTTTGGTCTTTTCACTTTTCAGCAGCAAAAAGCATTTCTGACCACTTAATGTCCCAGGGTGGGCCCACTATCATTTGCATGAGGACACACGCTGAGTGGATGTTGAATCCTTTACAGTATATTTTTCGCTAGGTTGGGGAGCAAGTAAATTAAAGATCTTACTGCTGAGCGTCAGGGAGTTTTCACACCGTCTCTTGTTCTTGAGATCTGACCCCAGGTGACTTGAAAGTGCCCTGCCTCGGTAACCCCCCTTCTCCAATTACAGGAAAGAAAAAGCAGAATGCGTAGGTTGCACTCAAAAGCCATGCTGTAGTCCCCAGAGAAAATACGTGTGTGTGTGTGTGTGTGTGTGTGTGCGTGAGAGAGCGTGCGTGAGTGAGACACTCCTTGTCACCACCACCTACATGATTAAGCAAAGATTCTCATCCTAGAATGTAAAGCCCTTCACATTTTGGCCTACTTCTCACCTGTGGTGGACAGCCAAGCCCAAATGTTCTGCAGCCCTTCGTGAGGTAGAAAGGCCCCAGCCACCCCTCCTTGCCAAAGCCCTTTAGGTCGCCATGACTTGTCCCACATGGCTGTACTTGCTGTCTGCAGCCCCTCTCCATCCTCAAGATGCACAGGGTCTCTCATTCCAGCACCCCCTGGTTGAACTCAAGAGCCTCGCATCTGAGATGTTTGCCTTACTGGGACCAAACAATGAGCTGGGCCAAATTCTCCCAGTGTCACTACCAAGAGGTACTTTTCAAATCCTGACTTTGGAAAGAGGTGCCCATTCTCTCCAAGTGGCAACTGAGCTTGGAAGAATGCCATTAGTTAGAGAAGAGGGAGAGAAGATGTTGGCTGGGGCAGCCTAGAAGGAAGCAGGCTCACAGAGTAGCTGAAGCACGTTAAAGGCAGAGCCCCATGCTGAAGAGCCACACTCCCGCCTTTTAGCTTCCTAGGGCCTCCTCTGACCCAGGGCTACTCCTCAGAGTCCCCTCTTTCTGAGGCCTGGTTGGTTGCTTAGCTCTCTCTGGGTTCCTCTGCGTGTCCACCCCTACCAGGAATGAGGTTAATGTGGACATGTCTGTTCACTTGCATGCCAGAGAAGCTAATTCTAGTACGACTTCTGGTTTCACCTGCCACCATTCCCCAGCCTAACTAAACACCCTCCTTTCGTGCAAGCATGCTCTGTGTCTCCTGTTCAGCTCCCTTCCTCAGGGTTCAGACTGGCCCTCAAGAAGCATGTCTCTTTGCCTTGCTGCCATCAGGGAGGGTACAGTTTGCTTCCTCCGCCATCAGGGACAGCTCTCAGATCTATCCGTACACGCTTCTCCGACCCTCTTCTGGCCTCTTCTCCTAGCCCACTGCACTTGAGCCATTTTTGTTCTTTTTTTTTTTTTTTAAAGATTTTATTTATTTATTTGACAGAGATCACAAGTAGGCAGAGAGGCAGGCAGAGAGAGAGGGGGAAGCAGGCTTCCTGCTGAGCAGAGAGCCCCATGTGGGGCTCGATCCCAGGACCCCGGGATCACAACCTGAGCCAAAAGCAGAGGCTTTAACCCACTGAGCGACCCAGGTGCCCCGCCATTTTTGTTCTTTAAACATGCC